CCCTGTAAGAAGGTGTCTCGTCCCTGGCTGGGGTGCCAGGAAGCGATAGCTCCTCACCACTTGCATGAGACATGTTTAACTACAATAAAAGGTAGAATTATTATATGAACCAGGTGTTTTAGTACTGGCTTGCTAGCTATGCCGTAAGGCGAAACAATTATGCTTAGGTTTGTGACTGGTGAGGCCCTGCTAGTGCCAAGCGGCTTGAGAGGCTCTATCTATGTGTTGGCGCGATGGAATTTTCGTGGCCACCGATCGTAGTGGCAGGTTGATGGCCTCTCAGTGAGATTTAACAAGAAAAAGGGGAAGGGAGTGACAGGTGAGGCCCTCTCTATGGAACTTGCGAGGCGACTAGCTCACGAGTGGCCCGAGGGGTAAATGCCTCCGCGTATGAGGCGGGTTTGTTGGCCTTGCGGGACCGCTAATCCGAAGCATAATGCAGAGAAGGAGAATATAACAGCTATTGGCCCCTATGACCCTGTCTGCCAGTACTTATCTATTATCTGGGGAACATATTTGGATATACTGTGAGCAGGTGTACATACCTGAGCGTATAAGTAAGGATTTTTAGACAATCCGTTTAGTTGGTAGTGGATACCTGTAACTAAATAGATGGAAAATCATATGAATATAACATAATGCATGAATCGATCTTAATTAATGTTTTCTGTTTGTTCTGGAGATCCGTGTGGATGACGCTTGTAGGATATCCGAGAGTTTAAATTACAACTATATTATGTGATAATTTACCTGCTATTTATTACCTATATATCTGTTGTATTAAACATGGTAACTTGTAGGGTCTTGTTTGTACTGCCATGTAATATGACGTTGTATGTAGTCATATGTACCTAAAGCCACAATCAAAATTGAAACAGTTTTGTATACCTGTGTAATAATCATTGTGCCGTTGAAATATGCTTGTGTAACTTAATACCTGATGACTAATCATTCCCTTGTACCCCATATGTGGCAAATACCCATGTATCCAAAATTTGTATTTTTATTCTGATCATTTACTGTAATAGTGTGTAAGTAATAATTGATATAAGTTATACTAGTATTATTTATGTGATCTGTAGGGGTCAGTGTATGTAGCAACCTGTATGCTCTTATGTAGAATGACCTGTAGGGGTCAGTGTTTGTAGAAGCCCTTATGTTGTGTATATATATATATGGCCTGTAGGTGGCAATGTAGTATGGATGCCCGGAATGTAATTAGTAACAAATATGCAACAATGTGGCAGTGAATTGATCAGTGATCTGATCATACGTTGACAATGATAATAAGATTGTTCAATTCTTTGCTGGAACAAATGTTCACAATATATGTGGGATAAGTGCAGCAAGGCAAGATAGACACTCTGTGCTGTGTCACAGAAAGAACAATGATTGTAATTATATGGAGAGTATAACAACTGTTAATTAGCTTGAGTGTTTACACATGAGACAGACATGTAAACTTTCCATTAATGTAAAACAGTTTGTTTTGGATTCACGCGGTTGCAGTATTTAAGAGTGTTGGGTACAAACACTGATATGTTATGGTCTGCAGGCCATGCAAAATAGTTACAATGTAGATTATATGTTCTCGGCATTTAAAGGACACTACAAAGTTGTACAGAATTTTTTTTTTTTGTAGAGATTGTGGGAAATGTAGTTTATTGTGGGGAATGGTATGCAATTATATGAGACTGTGGTGAGCGGCGGAGGTGATGTGTGAGGATATAAAGTAAGGTAACGTGACCGTCCTATATATGTACCTAATTTAATATATATGCCGTGCCACATGAATGACTGACTGTATGGGGTGAAATGCCCGCCGGTCGACCCAAGTAACGTGTGGCCGAGGTTTATCCAACGTGCCCCTGTAATACCTGCTTGTAATCCGTGTGTGCGGATTTGCCGAATATGAGTGCCCGATATGATAACATAGTACTAACAAGAAGCCGGGGCAATGTTTGCCCGTAAAGTGTGGACCTAGCCCGTGCCGTGGAAATGTTTCCCGGCGGTACGGGTAGATCAACTTACGGTACGCGACTGCTGATGACGTAATCCGCGGCGACGACCAGAAATTTAGCAGCTGGACCGCCGGAAACCTGCTGCTGAATTCCTGGGCACAGTTTCGGCGTGGAAGACCTCGTGAGAAGACGGACGTATCCCAAAATGGCGACTGGATGAACCGGAAGTGCATTCAGACGCTGACCTTGATTGGTAAGGAGTCAGGTAAGAGGTGTAGTTTATATAGGGGAGTAAGTTAACTTAAGCCCCTCCCACAAATACAGGCCAAACGGCCTTAACACACATATATATATATATATATATATATATATATATATATATATATTTGGGAGTCTAGCCAACTCCTTGGTTTTGCACCCCTCCCTGTCACAGGTGCCTCATCCCAGGGCCCTATTTAGCCTTGTACTGCAGAGAGCCCCAGATGGAATTTTTTTTTCCTCAAGTAAGTGGTTAATCTCATAAGAGCAGACATTAGGCTGTTAGTGTAGGACCTGCCAAAGATGGGGTACATTGACGTTGTGGCAGGCTTATGCAATGTATGATCATATAATGTAACTAAACCCCCATTATTTTTGCCTAGATTAGGTTTTTTTAAAAAACTAATAAAATCTTTCAACATTGAAGTTGCTGTTTAGTGACTGGATCTTGTGTTTTGTATGTATATATGTGTGTGTGTGGATGTGTGTGTGTGTGGATATGTGTGTGTGTGGGTATGTGTGTGTGTATGTATGAATGATATGTGTGTATGTATGTATGATATGTGTGTATATATTGTGTTTAACTTATATACAGTTTGGGTATATATGGGTCTATTTTGGTCTGATACCCTGTGTTTATTCTGCTATATGCTACTTGTTACTTCGCTAATACCTTCACTGCCTGGATGCTAACCAGGCTCTCTCTCTGCTTCCCTCTTCGTTTTCCCCTGTCTGTGGGTTCTTTTCGCAGGTGGCGGCCATTTAGCAGCCTCCTCCGATTCCCGCGCGCCGGGGCCTCGGGGTACATCTCTGGCAGCCCCACATGCTGTGTCCCGCGGCTCGTTGGCCTTGCGCCTGGGCCTTCCCCCTCTCTCATCGCCGCTTACCTATCTCGTCACCGGGCCGCGGGTGAATTACCTCTGGTATCGCGGCCTGCGTGCGGCGGCGGAGGAGAGGGGTAAGAGGCCTGCCACGTGGGAGTGGCGGCTCCCGGATCTTCTTTGGTGCCCTCCCCGGCTCAGGAACCCTCTCCGGTCAGGGGGTTTGGAGCTAGCTAGTGCTGGGGTTTTTTTCCGGTGCCAGTGGGCACTGCATTTGTCAGTTTGGGTTTTTTGTCCATCTCTCTAAGATCTATTATACTGTCTGCCTTATTTGTCTTGCAGTCATTGTGCCCACATTTCACAAACAATATCTACATCCTTTTTCATTGTACTCATTTGCTAGTGGTCAAAGCCACTAGCAAATGGGGCACATGTTACTGGGCACATGTCTCCTGTTCGGTCTCGACTCAGCTCTGTGGTGCTTCGCCAGGCTGCTGGACCTGGTAACAGCGCTCTTCCGATCAGAGGACGCCCGTTGTATACTCTTCCTGGACGATCTGCTGATCTTTTGCGAGGAGCGCTCCAGACTGAGGTATCTTATTCGGGTCCCTGGGTTTGGTGGTCGCCCAGGGAAGTCGGCCCATCTCAGGAAGTCGACTTCTTGGTTTTCTGATTGGACACAAGGGAGTGCCTCCTACGCCTACCTCTGTCCTGGATCCCTGCCATTCGAAAGGAATTAAGGATGATTCTCCACTGTGGATATTGGCACGTGTGGTGGGTCTCCTCTCCGCATTAATCCTGGCGATCTACCCGTCCCTCTTCACTAACGGGCCATGCAGCGCCTGAAGGCTCACTTTTTACACACGGCCATCCTACGATCGACTAATTCTCCTCAATTCGGAGATAGAGTTGGTATTCCGCTTAAAATGCCTGCAATTGATTACGGGGTCGTTCGTGATTCGGAGCCTGGCGAGTCACCTTCATGATTGCTGCGGTCTCCTCAGGATTGACAATGTCTCGGCGGTACAGTACAGTACAACCGCCTAGGTGGAACCCACTCCCAGATGCTTTCAAAGGTGACGACCCTTTTTGCCTCAGGGACAATCTATCAGGTTCCGACCTACTTCAGCTGGCTTCCAGACCCGGCTTGCATAGCGATGTTGATTTTTCCTTCATGTGTGGCCGTCGCGGGGAGCTTATGCATTTCCGTTTGCTATGCTCTCCAGGGTCCTACTGCGAGTTCAACGTCTACATGTATCTTTGGTGTCCCTGACTCCTCTATGGCGGAGTCAGGCCTGGTTTCCAGAATTTCTGCATCTATCCCATCGAGATCTTCTCCTTCTACCATCCCCATTTATGCTCCTTGCGGGGCAATCCTCATTCCCTGGTGGTGGACGTCCGCCTCCGCTTCATGGCCTGGATGCTTTATGGGGAACCTGGAATGTCGAGGCATTCTCACAGCCTGCGACGGACCTCCTCTGGGGCTTCTGGGCTCCTGGAACTGGCAGATGCCACTTGTTAGCATGGAACTCCTGGTGTCGTTGGTGCCTGGAACGGGATACCAAGCCCTTTGCGGGCCCTATAACCGGTGTTCTGAACTTCCTTCCACACCTGTTTGATTTGGGGCGCTCGGATCGTCCAGTTAACGTGACAAGGTCGGCAATTTCGGCAACTCACGTTACGTTTCAGGGTTTTTCCATTTGTCAGGACCCGCTGGTTTGCAGACTTCTTCTAGGCATAAGACTTTTTGCGGCCTCTGACGTCTATGTTTTCCTCCCACTGGGACGTACGCACAGTTTTGTTGTTTCTCCAGGATTGACCTGATTATCAAGACTTTTCCCTTCGCCAGCTTTCAGCTAATTGCTTTCCTACTGTGCCTAATTTCTTTTAGTCGAGTCGCCAGCGTCAGGACCTTTGAGGTCGACGTTTTTCTTGTCTTTTCCCCTGTGGGGGGGGGTCACCTTCACAGTGTTTTGGCAGTTTCGACGGCTGTATTCTACCAGTATTTCCGCGACTCGCATATGCTCTAAATGGCGACGGCTCTGTCATGCTATGTGGCGCTTACTTCTCCACTTCGCCCGTCCAGTTCCGACCGATTATTGACTTCTTATGTTAGACCTCACACTCCGGTCTCTTCTCCTACCCTGACACGGTGGATTTAATAGTTATTGTCCTTGGTGGGTGCGAATTTGACCTTTGGAGAGCATTTGGTTAGGGGCGCGACAGCTTCTGGCACCTTTCTCACGGACGCCTCTCTCCAGGACATACTGCGCTCGGCTGACTGGTCCAGGAAAAATATTTCCCTCCCAGTTTCACCCTACCCTTGTTACTTTGTTAGTTTTGTTTGACCACCTCTAATTCATAGTTTGTTCTTCAGGGCTATGATTAGGTAGGTCAGTTGCTTTGCCTTCCTGAGGGAAGTCGGGGAGAGATTTTATGGATATTGTACTGTCTGTAGTTGATTATAGGGTCTTCGTGTTTTCACAGTACATTTCATTCACGGGCTATTTTCTTTATCTCACATGGTCACTTTGGTGTATTATACCATGTATATTTAAGCATGGAATCATTTTTATAGCACGCAACTTTTCCTTTCTTTTTCTAACCTGACTGTCTAGCAAGCTTAAAGGACCACTATAGTGCCAGGAAAACATACTTGTTTTTCTGGCACTATAGTGCCCTGAGGGTGCCCCCACCCTCAGGGTCCCCCTCCCGCTGGACTCTAGGGTGTGGAAGGGGTTAAACTTACCTCGTTCTCCAGCGCCGGGCGGGGAGCTCTCCTCCTCCTCTCCGCCTCCTCTCCTCCTCGTCGGCTGAATGCGCATGCGCGGCAACAGCTGCGCGCGCATTCAGCCAGTCCATAGGAAAGCATTCACAATGAGAAATGCGGAAGCCCTCTAGCGGCAAACGGCAAAGTTCAATATCTCAAAACTTAAAGCAAACCAGCAAAATATAGCAGTCTGTTATATACAACATGATAATATGACTGGATATACTGCTTGACCTAGTATAATCTTTAAAATATTGGAACTTGTTATTCTTATGAAATATTATATCCTGTAATACTATATTAACCCCTTAAGGACACGTGACGGAAATATTCCGTCACGATACCCTTTTATTCCAGAAGTTGTGTCCTTAAGGGGCTAAAGGACCACTATAGTGCCAGGAAAACATACTCGTGCCCTGAGGGTGCCCCCACCCTCAGGAACCCCTTCCCGCCAGGCTTTAGGTGGAGGAAGGGGTTAAACTTACCTCTTTCTCCAGCGCCGGGCGGGGAGCTCTCCGCCTCCTCTCCTCCTCTTAGGCTGAATGCGCAAGCGGCAGGAGCTGCGCGCGCATTCAGCCAGTCTCATAGGAAAGCATTTCCTATAGACGCTTGCGTCTTCTCACTGTGATTTTCACAGTGAGAAGCACGCAAACGCCTCTAGCGGCTGTCAATGAGACAGCCACTAGAGGCTTTAGAGGCTGGATTAACCCTATTATAAACATAGCAGTTTCTCTGAAACTGCTATGTTTATAAAAAAAAAAAAGGCTAACCCTAGCCGGACCTGGCACCCAGACCACATCATTAAGCTGAAGTGGTCTGGGTGCCTATAGTGGTCCTTTAACAGGGAAAGAGGCTTTATCTTATCTCTATGCTGCTTTTTCCTTTCAGCTAGTTTAAAAGTGCTGCTTGAGACATCACCATACCAAGATATAACAACTTGATATATGCCCAAAGGCAAATGTCTACTATCTAAGATTTCTATCAGCCTAGCCTCTTAGGATGTTCACATGTTGCTAATTACATTCTATTAACCCTTTGGATGCCCCTTAGCTTGGCCACTTTGAATAAAGTCTTTATTATAGGGATTCCAATTGTTTTAATTTTTAGTCAGAGTAAAGGAAATTTGTTTTAGTATTCACCCTGACTCATCCACTATTCTTGGTTCTTCAGATGGATTTACATTGTTTATAGCTATCTAAAATATCCAGATTATATCCACATCTCTAAACAGTCTCCTTTTGTTTCTGTTTTGAAGGAGGATATTTTTTTTTCTCTCTGTGAATTATAAGAGGTTAAGCCCCAGACACCACTGGAATGTCATTCTCGTGACTATATTGAAGTTGAGAGGTTCTGCAGCTGCAGACTATCCCGAACTTCAATATATCTTTGCATACATTTAATTCACTAACCAAAGTTTTTGACTCTGTTTATATCGTTTCAGTTTAATGGTTCGTCTACAGTTCCACGTTCAAGGCCTTCTTCTGGATAAAGTTTAATAGTTCATCTACGGATCCACGTTCGGTTTCTGGTTCTGGATGAAGGTCATTGGTTGTCTACATTTTAATTCTCCTGCTACTACTAGATGGATATGTTTGTTTCTGTTCTTTGTTTTGTCGCAGCTTGAAAGAGGAAGTAGTTGACTTTTATTGTTCCTTACTTTTTTTCTGATTGGTTGTTTTTCTCTGTGTTAATGTGCTGCTGTGGAGTTCTAGTAAAGAGACTTAAGCAAATATTTGCCTGCTGTCATGAATAAAATTAAGATTATAGTTACACTAAAGCTAGTATAATCTACAATTCTTACAAATAAACTTGACATTTTCTTTATATAATTCACGCAAACCTCCATGCATCCTTTAAAGTAAACGCAGAAATTACCTAGACCCCAGCACACACTAGCTGATACGAGTTAAAAGAAAAATAAACATGTTCACCATATGTTATTAAATTATAGTATCATGTTAGAATAAAAATAAAATGTTTTCTAGTGCTTTAGAACTCTAACTAGACCTTCACTATACTTATTTGAATTAAATTTGTGATTTGTTTGCTTTTGTTTCTTTTTACAGTTCTTTGCTAAAAGACTGTCTCTGATCTTTGCCTTCTTTAGGGATAACTGTTATCGTCGCCAGGAGGGAGTCTCTCGGAAATGTTCCTCCTTCCAGTATTGAATTGAGGCCCTTTAAAAGTCTCGGTAAGAGCACGTCGCTGAACTCCTTCAGGCACTTTGTTCAGTTTAGAGCTTTTCAACTCTAATTGCAATTCTTCCAGTGTAATTTCGTCCTCCAATTCCTCCACTGCTTCCCGGCTTAATGACTTAGTGATATGTTGCTGTAGGTAATCCGTGATCCGTCTGTCCTTGCGATGGCCTGCCTCTTCCGACTGCTCCGTAGGGAGGTTGTAAAGGTCTTCATAGAACCCCCTGAAAGCCTCTGTAATTTTCTCAGGCAATTGCGTCACCTGCTGGTCTTTGTATTTGATTTTAGTGATGTAGCACATTCTCTTTTTTTTTGTAAGGTCCTGGCCAATAATCGACCGCACTTACCCGAGTATTCATAGAAGAAACGTTGAGATTTACGGATTGTATACTGCAGCTTTTGGTGCAAAATGTCTCGCAGCTTTTTCCTATTCTCTAACAGCTCTTTGTAGCTAACGTCCGATTGTGTGGTCTTATGAAGACCTTCGAGGTCTGCTATACGTTGAAGCAGTTCGTCCGTGCATCGTTGCTGCTCCTTCTTTCTTCTTGTGCATACTTTGATAAGGTGACCCCGGACGGCACATTCATGTGCCTCCCATATCGTCAAAGCGGGCACCTCAGGGGTGTCGTTCTCTGTAAAATATGTGACTAATGCCGCCCAGATGTCCGCAGCCGTGGGGCCGTCGTTAAGAATTGACTCATTCATCCTCCATTGTCGGTCTCTGGGTCGGAATAATGGGGACTTAATGCTTGCTAAGATGGGGGAGTGGTCCGACCAACCCTGCATTCCGATCCCCGCATCGAGGAGCAGAGGCAAGAACTCCTGAGCTAGGAATATGTAGTCTAGCCTGCTGTAGTGCTTGTGCACCGTGGAGAAATAGGAGTAATCCCTATCGGAAGGATGGAGGACCCTCCAGCAGTCCGCTAGGCCAGCGCCACGTAATTCTGCTCGGATGGACTGTAGACAGTGGGTCGATATAGAGCTAGTCCCTCTAGATGTGTCGACTCTTGGGTCAAGGGCCACATTCAGATCTCCCGCTACGATCAGCAGGCCTTCCCTGAACCTTTCCAATTTACGTAGGGTCTCCCTCAGGAACCTATGCTGTCGAGCATTTGGGGCATAGATGGTGGCTAGCATGTAGGTGGAACCTGCTATAGTACCCATGAGGAAGAGGAACCATCCCATTTCGTCGGCCAGTGTATTCGTACATTCGAACGGTACCGTACAGGCAAACAGTATTGCCACCCCAGCTTTTTTGGCTGTCGGGTGGTTGGCGAAGTATCCCTGGGGAAAACTCGCGTCTTTAAGTGTCGGGGCTGACTCTCCCCGGAAATGAGTCTCTTGCAAGAATGCGATGGACGTTCTCGCAGTTCCCAAGGAACGCAAGAGATGTGACCTCCGCTCTGGCACGTTCAGCCCTCGGATGTTGTTTGACCAGAGACGTAGAGGGGCAGGATCGAACCCCGAGCGCATAGTCGCTAGGGATGGAGAAGGCTAGGGTGGGTTCAGAAGGGTATAGGGGATGAGGGGGGAGTAAAGAATGTGAGAGGTTTGTGTGTCCTAGTGGAACTGTGGTGACTCTACACCTGTGGTGGGGGTGGCGTGTGGAGTACCTCAAAGGGGTAGACCGCACCCCCCCTACCAAGTTCACAGTGGTGTCTATCATTGGGGTCTAGTCCCAGGGAGCACCAGCAGATGTGCTGGTATTAACCGTGTCCCTTACCGTGAAGTGTACTCAAGGAACTACTTTAGTGGAACCGTCTACTTTCCCTTTCCCCAGGCCAAGGCAAGCAGAGTGCTACGGGAGGCATAAGGATGGCAGAGCTGTGAACAAGTTTAGGTGTTGTCCTGGGGGCTTGGGCTGGCTCTAAACCGCTTGCGCTATTTGGCTCGTCTCTAGGGGTCACAGGCTGCGGGATTTGCTCCCTGTTCTGGTCACGTCAGGGCAGGGGGGGATGGAGGGGGGTGAGGGAGCTGGTATATTTACCCTAATTCATGGTCCGCTAGTCGGGATGAGTCAGTTCCGTATGTCCGGGAGCAAGGTGGAGAGGTGGAGGGTGCTGTGCGCTATCGTCTGTTCCAGATAGTCTCGTGGGGGCGCAAGAGGGCGGTGGGAGCCTTACCTATCACAGTTGTGTCCGCGTTGCTAGGAGCGTTGTGGATGTAGTTCTGTGTTTAGCATGGGGGGAGAGTATCAAGAGCATATATCCTCGCTCACCCCATCGTCATTATGGTATGCTTGTACCTTTGTAGGGGGATAGTTTGTCATCTGCTAGTGTGTGTTGCTCCTTGGTTCCCCTGCTCTATCATATTCCCCCCTCCATGTCTTGCTATGTTTGTCTCGGCTGTTCCTGGGGTTCTCCTTCTCCGCCCCACCCTCACCCCCCTCACTCCCCTCTCCCCGATGAGCCCGAGTGCGTTTCAGGGTGACAAAAAGGCAAGTTAGTACATTCAAACATAGACTGTATAAAAGTCCCCCTCTGTTGAATCCCGGGTGTCTCCCTCCCCGCACCCGGTTCCCCCCCTGAGTTTTCGGTACTGTAACTGGCATCAGGTGTGTATTCCCTAGTTGTCGTGGGTGACTTCGGTGTGCCTCCAGGTAGTCCTTCCGGGGCTGTTCCCCTTCCTATATTCTTTTTGCCTGCTGGCGGGCTCAGGGGACCTGGGTCGGCCAGTTCCCGCTTTTATTGCAATGTGTGGGTAGTGGCCCCGAGGAGCACCCCTCTCATACCCACCCAAAGAGACCCGCCATGCCTTGCATTAGCCAGGGTTTTCAGCTAACCCTCCTGCACCACTGGCAGTGGTCTTTTTAGAGCAGGAATCACTGCTTTGCCCTGCTAACCATGCCTTGCAAGCCATTCCTAGTGTGTAACCGTTCTCAGTAGTGGAGGTGTCCATATGTCCCCGCTACAGGCCCGGGCCCTTTATAGGCTCCAAGTCCCTTGTCCCTTCTCCCTCCCCAACAAAGTCCCAGAGATTCCCCCCACAGCCGTCTGTCCCTGTATGTGTGCAATCGGCCTTGTTCCCAATGACTGTCCCAGCTTACCAGTCCCAGCTGCTAGTGTGTTATTCTTCTGGACCGTTCGGACCCCCTCTGCGGTGTGGGCGCATGGCCCGTTCTATAGGTGGAGCTGTTGGGTTGGACGCATTCAGTGGGTCTCTCCTCACAGCTATTGCTTCATCTAGAATCCAATTGCGCACTCTCACTGGTGGTAGGTTAAGGGTCCTCATAAGGGTCCTCTTCTGGCCAGTGGGACGTGATCCATGTATTTCCGTGCTTTGCTTGAAGGCTGAAGGGGAAACCCCAGCGGTATGGGATCCTCTTGTCACGCAGTATGCCCGGCACCGGGCGTAGCGCTCTCCTGGCGTCTTCTTACTTTCTTAATAGCACAATTCACATTTTGCAACGTGGCAATTGTATTTGATTGGAGAAAATTCATCAATTTAGATGTATTACTACGGTAAGGTAAGTTTGTCCAAGCACTAGAATACAGTCCATACCATGTTAATGATGTTAATAATATTATTATATAAATATATATTTTTTTATTTTCACATTTACTCATTGTCATACATGTTATTTGAACATCGTTGATTTTATTCTTTCTTTTTAGACATCATTGCAGGATTTCCCAGTAACAGTGAGTGTGCAGGAAGTCATGTCTCCTACTCAGGGTGCAGAAGAGCCAATTCCTTCAAAAGTTCAGTAAATGTTTAAAAGGTTCAGTTACATCAATCCCAAGTGGGTCACATCATCCCAACCCAAAGCAGGACCTAGTACAGAATCCTCAGACCAAGGGGAGACATCTACAATGTCTACATCAGATAAGGTAAGAAAATATAACGTTTTACTAATGTTTGGATTCTTTAAAGTCCTAACCACTACACTATGACTATATTAATTCATTTTAAAAATGAGCCATGAAAGTACAGATTGTTATCCTAATATTTCATCAGGATAGTGCCAATAATGATCTGAATATTAAACCTGCCAAATTAATGTTTTCTAATTTTTAACTACTTAAAACACAATGCCTGGCATCGAAATATCTTTATTTTTGTTGTCTATTTGATTTTCTTTTAAAGGACCACTATAGGCACCCAGACCGCTTAAGCTCAAGTAAGTGGTTTGGGTGCCAGGTCCCCCTGGTGTTAACCCTGCAGTTGAAAACATAGCAGTTTCAAAGAAACTGCTATGTTTAAACTGCAAAGTTAATCCAGCCTCTAGTGGCTGTCTCCCTGACAGCCACTAGAGGCCACTTACGCGATATATACACGGAGTAAATTGCACTTATTTGACGCTAGACATCCTCACGGAGTCCAGTGACAAAAAAGATCCCCGTAGGAAAGCAGTGAGTAATGCTTTGCTTTTTGGCGGGTTTGAATGTGCATGTGCCTCTGGCCGCGCATGCGCATTCGGCTCCACTCGGAAGCTGACGTTGATGGAGGAGGAGAGGTCACCATTGCTGAGGGAGCCCAACGCTGGATTAAGGTAAGCAAATAAATGGCTAACCATTTATTCGCCGCGGAACGGATGTCTAGTCACCTAAACGGTGACTAGGGCTCTATAGCGTTAGGAATATGGATAGCTATCTTTAATATGGATAGTTTGTTACAATCTTTTTAATTTCAGAGAAAGATTTTGCTTTCTGTGCTAATCGCCTTACTATTTGTTATTATCACCCACCATTATCAATTTATGAAGCATATATTGCCTGTACAACTAGAAGTATATGTGGTTAATAGGAGCACAAAAGCAAGCTTTCTGTGCTGTGAATATGTTCAGTAAAAATAACATAAATGTGTATCAGGGGATCTGATATAACCAGAGGACACAGGCGTTTCTTTGTAGGTGTGCTAGCATAACAAACAGTCCTGGATTTAGGCATTTTCTATACTGTACCAATGGCGATAGTAACATAATCTGGGCAAGAGCTGTGCCTTGAGGACTAGGTCGGGACCCACTCTTGAAGACTATTATTTATTGTTATGTCTATGTCTATATTAGATTAGTAAAATATTAATTTAAAACTTTATTTCTAATTAATTGTTTTTCAGATGAAAAGTTACACCGACAAATAATCTTCTCCTCTGCACCAGGACACATCTTTTCCCGGACTGGCCATTAATGCAATTATTGTAAATAGGAAATGAAAAAGGGAAGAAAGTGAGAACAAACAAGATTGTGTTCACAAAAAAAGAATATCTGATAAAAACAACTGCAATTATCTTCTCCTCCCATTCCGTTTTGAGTCATCACTTGAACATCCAGTAGAGTGTGGGAGACTATTATTTACAAAAAAATATTATTACTTTTATATTACTTTAAAGGACCACTCTAGGCACCCAGACCACTTCAGCTTAATGAAGTGGTCTGGTTGCCAGGTCCAGCTAGGGTTAACCCATTTTTTTTATAAACATAGCAGTTTCAGAGAAACTGCTATGTTTATAAATGGGTTAATCCAGCCCTCAAATCCTCTAGTGGCTGTCTCATTGACAGCCGCTATAGGCGCTTGCGTGATTCTCACTGTGAAATTACAGTGAGAACACGCAAGCGTCCATAGGAAAGCATTGTAAATGCTTTCCTATGAGACCGGCTGAATGCGCGCGCAGCCAGCCGAAAGGGAGGAGAGGAGGAGGAGAAAGGTACGTTTTAACCCCTTTCCTCTCCCCAGAGCCCGGCGGGAGGGGGACGAGTATGTTTTCCTGGCACTATAGTGGTCCTTTAAATAATAACTTCAAAAACAAATTGGAAGATAAATCCACATCATATAGTATAATATCGTTGTGGTCTCCCATAAATGGAATCCGTTAAAGGTGTGGAATAAAAAACGTATGACCTCAAATAGTTGTCATTTGTCGATCTAATTGTATATGCTGACACCAGGTGACGTACATGTTGTGTATTATGTAACATTTTATTTTTATTATGGTCCCCTTTCCTTTTTGCTTTCTGTATCCCTTCTTAAAAACGTTTCAATAAAGTAAAATCAATTTAAAAAAATAGTTTTTAAAAAAGTTAATATTTGTAAAAACAAAACAAACAAACTCCTGAATAAAATGTTAGTTGCTAAATGTAATGCAATGGTTTGGAAGTAAAGATGGAGGAATGTCTCTCATCCATTTACAATTTCTTATACTCTTTGTCCACAATTTAATATTTATTGGTTAAGCTTTTCAAATGATATAATACTTTTGTTTAAACCTTTTTTTTTTTTTCAATTTGATGATTTTTATTGTCATTTTCAAGTAACAAAGGTTGGAGGTAGGTTACAGAAAATAAAAGGAAAGGTGACTCACAAGGAGGGAGGGGGGGGAAAATCACAATTTCCAGCATCATCACATCTAGAATAGGCATTGTTATACTTTGCGTTTATGAGTACATATAACATGGCGGTTAGGCGTATCATTACTTGTGTTGTGTCCCAGGCTTTCCACATCCATTAGAGCCATTGGTAATGTGATCTGTCATAGAATTTATAGAGACAGAAGTTACATAAGTGTTACCTATTCTTCGGGGTCGACCTGATCTGCAGGTTCTCCAAAGCTTCCAAGCCTCGAAGGCTGGCGTCATAGGGAGGGCACTCCGGTAGCAGTGCTTGTATATGTGTTGGGTGTCAATCTCGTTACATAATTCCGTCACTTTTGGGGTGACCTATGGGATTTCCACAATCTTGCTATAGCCTGTTGGGCTGTTAAGAAAATGTGGAAGATCAATTTATGTATTCCCTTGGGAGTATCATTAGGTATGTGTAGCAGGAGGTATGTTATTGGTGTGAAAGTTATGCGGTGTGAGTGCGGTTCTTTGTATCAGGTAGTGAACTGATTTCCAAAATTTGGTGATGAGGTTGCAGTGCCACCATATATGAAGTACCATGCCCTCCTGTGAGCCACATCTCCAATATACTGGAGACAAGTCTGGGTATAATTTATGGATGCGCATGGACACCATGCACCACCTATATAGCGTCTTTCTGTGTTCTAGTAACGTTGCTGATTTGGGTGTCACTGTGATGGTTTTCCATTGTTCCCGGGTTAAGCACTGTAAATCGTGCGCCCATTGTACGGCTGGTTTAGAGTCTGCAAAGTGTATAGAAGACCAGAGGAGCTGGTAGAACCAGGAGAGCGGTTTACAATTTGGTAAGAGTGAACCTTTAATAGCCATCTGTTCCCAACTCGTCACAGCTATAGGGGTCCAGTCATAGGACGAGGTCTGAGTGTTATACTTGTGAAATGAACGATTTTAATTGTGTGTGGGAGAACTGCGAGGCCTGCGCTATGTGATAGTCCACTTGCAGGGTTTCAAAATCTAGCAACTTGTTGTGTTTAAACATTTGAGATAGGCGTGTAACCCCCTTATCAACCCATGGTTTAGCATTGAAAGTTGGTATGCAGTATGATCGTTTTAAGTGGGGTTGCCATTCATAGAGCGATAGGGCTTTCTAATTTTTTCCTGTTCATGTGCCAGACTCTCACCGCCAGTTTGAGTTGCTCTGGTAGTAACGGAATATGTGGTCGAACTCTTTTGGGTAGCCACAGAATGGTGGGTAGGTCAAAAGGCTTCATGGCCTGCTTTTTCAGCAACATCCATTGTGGTGGGTCAGTGCTAAGGAAGTGGGGCAGAGCTGACGCTAACACTGCTGCGTGGTAGTAGGCCTTAATATCTGTGAGGGCGAGGCCCCCTTGTCTCATCGGTGCCTGCAGAAAATTCCCTGACACCCTAGCCTTCCTTACCTCCCCTCTCCCCCACACACACACAAACCTGGATATGTCTTTTTGGATTGCTTGGAGATAGGATAGGGGTACCTGGATCGGCAGCGTGCGGAACAGATACTGGAGCCTTGGTAGAATGGACATTTTGATCATCACAACACGCTCCATCCAAGTTAGGAACAGAGAACTCCACTTTTTCATAAGGTGTTTGCAATCATTCCAAACTCTAGCATAGTTAGTGAGAAAGCTATCTGTTGGTCGTTTAGTAAAGGTCAGGCCTAGGTACTTGATATTATCTGTTCTCCACTCAAAGGAATAGAATTAAGCCCCTTGACTTAGGTTATATATCCGTCTCTGCAGGGAATTGCGACCCATAGGGAAGGGAGAAAGGAAGACAGGACCGCGGCAACCAACTCCAGGGTGGTGTCCAAGGAAGGATGAGGGGAAAACAGAAGGGTATTCGGCCCTAAATGGCTCACAGAGATTGAGCCTGGCTATGCCGACGGAGGGTCGAGCACATCTGCTGGGGCCGTGACCTTGAGACACTCCATTGTAGAGGATTTCTCACTGTCAATAGCATACAAGAGCGTGTTGATGAAATTTAAACTATGTACATTTGCAATTAACACATGATATGTAGTACCAGAACATTATGGTCATAACTTAACTTTCATGTACTAGTACAGCAGGGGTATCTCTGTTCCGGGTCCCCTAGTGTTCAACCACATGTCTAATGGGCAAAGTCGGTAACTAACCGAGGTGTTGGCTCGCATAACGTTAGGGAAAAACCTCGGGATGGTGTTGCTGAAAACTTAGCTAAGCCCGACCAAGAGTACATTGCATGATAAACAATATTAGAGAATAAACTAACAATAAATATAACAGGTGACCTTGTCACAACATGCTAGCGTGTTTTGTTGCCTTACATGCACCGCTTCACCATGGACAGTATGCTGCATCAACGAGTAGACCAGTCCTGGGCCAGTCTAGGGATTTTTGCTGGGTTGGAGCTTGTTGGTTAATCTAGTGGAATACTCCAGTCTTGGAACTGTTGCTGGCCCTGTGTAGGGGTACTGATGGAGTGCAGAGAGTCCTGGTGGTACACTAACAATTTGGCCGGATAGCCACACCTATAGTTGAGTCCACAGGTGCGTAGTTGTGACAGACACTCTGTTCCTGGATTTTAAAGTTTATGTTATTCCCTTTGACTATCTGTTTGGCCAAATACGTCTTGTCCCTTTATCAACATTGCCCCGTTCGACTAAAGAAAGAACTACCGAACAACCGACCACCAAGATGCGGAGTGCGGAGCTTGTTAACCTTATTGACCCCACTTAACACTTCCATAACCACAAACACCTCAACGCTCTAATCGATCGGCTGGGTGGTCATCGTTTGCATGTAAGAACATGTGGCGGTGGCCACCTTGGAATACGAATGCAGCCAACGGTATTTGGTCGTTGAGTGTATGGAACTAGAATCAGACACTCGATGGCCCAAACACCGCTAAGACTTCCATGTCCACAGATGTTCGGTATTAACCACAAGAAAGGGACGGCATTCGGTAGAAACATCTCCCGAACCACAAGAACTACGAGATGCTTTTTCCACCTTAGCGGAGTTGTTTTTCTGCCTCTGTGACCTTCTCACAGTAATTGCTGGGTGTTCTGGCTGCCGGTTTGTTCAGTAGTCCGGTAATTTATCGCTCTGTATCTCTCGTTCGGCGGGAGCTACTCCAAAATGCGACCATACAGTTTGAGCACCAAGCCACGTCCCTTGTTTAAACCTTAAAGTGATTTTTCAAAACATTAAAATATCACAAATATGCCATATATGCAAAAATACAGCAATACATAAAAAAAAATCTAAATATGAAATATTTTTCAAAGTATTAACTAGATTAAAAAGTTTATCCAAGGGGGGAGGAGCCTGACTGGTAAGCAGAGCACACGCAGGTTTGACAAACTCCTGAGCATGAACGGCTATTATCCATGCAAAACGCAACTCACCGCATAGTGGGGATTCTGCTTATTCGTGCAGTACCAAACTTGGTGCTCTACTGTCTCAGGAAACTAACATGTTGCTATTTGAGGCATACAAGCTGCACAGGCGTCGGAGGGACGGCCGCTCTCCAGACACCACGTCCTACTTCACAGCGCAGACCTCAGCTCCTAGTAGGCCTGGGGTATTAGACCTCATGACCCCTCAAGATGGCAGCTGCTGCACCAGAAGGGAGATAGGGCACCCAACCGCAGACCTCTCCTTGATGCCCCCGCGCCACTTACACTAACCCATATGGAATCCTCCTCACAGAGCAAACAGTGTCCTAGCAAGTTGGGCATCAGATGAAGCCTGAAGCACACCCTGGCAACTCGGCCTGTATAGGCTTTCTCCTAGTTTAACTACCATGCAGTGGACTCCTGTTACCTGTTTCTATTTTAATTTCCTTGCTTTGCGTTTTCTCCTGATACAATAACATACGTTTTCTAGTACCTCAAGCAATGCATGACTAGCATAACTGTGTACTCTTGCAATTTATGTCTAAACGCAGCATTAATAGAATGATTAAATTAATTTCAATATGTCTAGAATATCTTGCAAACCTTGAAGGCTTGTTTCATCACTAGACAAAAGATATTGGATGAATAATCCAATATATATTCAGGAGTAGTATATACCTTTAAATTTTAAACTGGTATGTAGGAATGTTAAAATGCCATAATATGACTTAGAATAGCATATAAATGAAGAGAATATATAAAACAAATGATATATATATGCTTTTGTTGCAATAAATCCAATAGTAGACAGAATGTTCTTGCATTGATACAATTGTATCACTTAGAATAAAAGTTCATAACAGTCCGTGAATAATGTTAGCTGTTTCAGCTTTTACCAGTTATAAACAAACTGGAATAGTGGATGCTGAATTAGCTGAATTAGTATAGTACAATAATATGTTTAATTGCATATATAGCAATGGTGATTTGCAAATATACTTATGTACTTGTGGAAAAAGAAATAATAATCACTAGCAGGTCATAATTAGTGACTTGCAGTATAATAGGAAGAAAATCGCTCCGGTCTTGCAGAGACTAATGCAAAGATGCTTTCTGTGTTAAAAATAAATAGATTTATTGTCCACAGAATAAAATTGAGATTGCACTTACAATTGAGCAAAGAACTAAATATGCTGAGCTGGAATCGGGAAAGTATGGTGTTAGCAGCTGTTAGGTGCTGGTCCTGCCG